ATGATATTGGTGTGTTTGTGAGCGGCTGCGTGCATACGTGTGTGGTCCTATTACATCATGTTGTCTTGTCGGTGATGTTCATATACTGTAAACAAAGCCCTTTATCCAATCAAGAGCCTTCTCTCTCTCCAGCCTGGTCTCATAGACTAGACGTAACATAGTAAATGTAAACTCAGGACACTCAAATTAGTATGAAATTGTATGTTACGTTTGGTATGGGTGCATAAGACAGAAGGTTACTTATTGCAAAAACGAAAGTACGGTGGTTGGTCGGCCGTATAACGTGAACGTCTAGCAACCCAAAGGTTGCGTGTTCAAATCTCATCATGGACAACTTTTGCATTTTGGCTAATTAGCAACTTTGCAACTACTTGGTACTTTTGAGTTACTTTGCAGCTATTAAGCATGTTAGCTAACCTTTCCTGTAACCCTTTAACCCAGGGGTGTCAAACTCATTTTAGCTCAGGGGCCACATGGAGGAAAATCTATTCCCAAGTGGGCCGGACCGGAAAAATCATGGTATATATATAACTTAAAAACAACAACTTCAGATTGTTTTCTTTGTTTTAATACGATCAACATACAACATAAAGCTGGAGCCTGAGGACAGTGTGTCCAAAATAGTACAAGCACAACATCACTAGTAATCATAAAACACGTCAAGTTTATTTGAAAATTCTAAAGAAAAAGAACACACAAACACACAATGCCTCAGTGATTAACAGAACTGTTTCACAGATCACAGAACTATATCAGGGTGTCATTTCTCAGGCAGAAATGTAGATAAAAATAATGAAATCCTGTTCCCCAAACAAGTGCAAGAACCACAGAGTCAAGAATAGGTTAAATATACAAATAAAATAAAATCAATTAAAAACAATAGCACATCAACATAAAAACATATAAACATAAATCTGAAAGCGTTGCTCAAACTCCCATAACAGTCCCGTTATTTATCTTTGAACCGCTTCATGTCTGCCACATGTTGGGTCGCGCACACATTTTTCAGACAGGGGAAGTGAGCTGCATCACCACCGGCAAGTTGCGTCTCCCACAATGACAGCTTCAACTTGAAAGAACGTATGCTGTCATAATACTGCGTGACAACTTTGTTGCGCCCTTGCAGCTGTTTGTTCAAGTTATTCAGGTGCTCTGTAACATCCACCATAAATGCAAGGTCCTGCATCCATTCTGCAGAATGAAATTCTAACACTGGTTTGCCCTTTTCTTCCATGAACTGTTCAATTTCTTCTCGTAAATCAAAGAAACGCCTCAGCACAGCACCTTGGCTTAACCATCTTACCTCAGTGTGGTATGGCAGGCCATAGATGTGGTCTTTCTCTCTGAGAAGGCTGTCAAACTGACGGTGATTCAGGCTTCTGGATCGGATGAAATTAACAGTTTGGATGACCACCTTCATGACGTTATCCATCTTTAATGACTTGCAACACAAAGCCTCCTGGTGCAAAATACAGTGAAAAGACCAAAAATCACGTCCTCCATTTGCAGATTGCACTTTCTCTCTGAACTTTGTCACAACGCCTGCTTTTTTCCCGATCATTGAGGGTGCACCATCTGTAGCCAGGCTGACAGCGCGGGACCAGTCCACTCCGACCCTGTCCAGCGCGCCGACGAGTGCGGTAAAAATATCAGCTGCTGTCGTTGTATCTGTCATCGGCACCAACTCCACGAACTCCTCGGTGACGGTCAATGTGTCATCAACTCCGCGGATGAAAATGGCCAGTTGTGCAACATCTGTAATGTCCGTGCTTTCATCAATTGCAACCGAAAACGCAATAAATGACTTTACTTTTTGCTTCAACTGGCTGTCCAAATCCACTGAAAGATCGGAAATCCTGTCTGCAACTGTGTTTCTTGTCAGGCTGATATTTGCAAAAGCCTGCCGCTTTTCAGGGCACACAGTCTCCACTGCCTTCATCATGCATGTTTTTACAAATTCACCCTCACTAAATGGTTTTGAAGCCACTGCGATTTCATTAGCAATGAGGTAGCTAGCTTTCACTGCAGCGTCACTGATGTCTCGGCTGTGAGTAAACACAGACTGCTGTTTCTTCAGACCCGCCAACAGTTCATTCACCTTCTCTCATCTCCGCTGTCCTTGAAAGTTGTCATATTTGTCGGCATGAAGACTCACATAGTGGCGACGAAGGTTAAATTCTTTCAGCACTGCAACATGCTCTGAACACACCAAACATACAGCTTTCCCATTCAATTCCGTGAATAAATAGGATGACCATTTTTCTTGGAACACTCTGCACTCTGCGTCCACTTTTCTCTTTTTTGACAGAGACATATTGGGGCAATGAGGGTGCCAAAGCACATAATGTTAAAAGTAGAAGCCGTAATAAATATCGCGGGCAAAACAAAGTAGCTCATTGGCTGCACGTGCTTGACCTACTTGCTCTGCCCCGGTATAAACAGTTTGCTTGCTTAACACAATTGCTATTGCGCCATCCAGTGGACGCAATTGGAACAGCAGTTTATTTTATTGAAAAATTGCAGCGCATTTTTATACTTTACAAAATTATTATTATTATTTTTTATCATCTCGCGGGCCGGATTAAACCCGTTTGCGGGCCTGATCCGGCCCGCGGGCCGGACGTTTGACACCCCTGCTTTAACCTAACTCATAAGCTTAACCCTAATCTTAACCACTAACCCAGCTAATGTTAGCCATCTAGCTAACAGCGTTAGCCACCTAGCTGACGTTAGCCACAACAAATTGGAATTTGTAACATATCATACATTTAGCAAATTTCATAACATATTGTACGAATTGCAATTCGTAGAACTTATTGTACGAATTGCAATTCATAAAACATATTGTACAAATTGCAATTCGTGAAACATATTGTACAAATTGCAATTCGTAAAACATATTGTACAAATTGCAATTCGTAAAACATGTACGAATGGCAATTCGTAACATATTGTACGATTGCAATCCGTAACATATATTGTACGAATTGCAATTGGTAACATATACCATATGAAATGGACATTCACAAATTAATATATGCCATACAAAACGTAACATATCATACTAATTAGTATCCAGGATTTACATTTTTCTATGTTACGTCTACCCCTGATTCCAGGTTGCTCTGTCCCCCACTACCACAAATTCAACTAGTGATGTATTGTACATGGAGCCAATGAAGGCACAGCCTCTTTTTCTGAGAATCACAGCTTGTTCAGAGATTCAAAGAAAATTGTAAACACACAGTAGTGTCTTGCAGTAGAGCGAGCACTGGGCTAAACTAACAGATCACACTGACTGTACCGCACTCTACAGTAGTGATTTCCCGTAGAGAGTTAAGGAGGTGTTTGTCTGGGATGAAAGCACACCTGTGACATTTGACCTCTTGTAGTGTTAGAAGCTGCAGCTAGGTATAGTTTCATCTCCTCCCCTGCTCTACCCTTTCAGGACATAAAGAGAGACCTTTATAAAGTGGGCCGTTGGCTAATATATTGAGTTACCATTGTGACTTTTAAACTGTAACACTAGGAAAACAAACTGTTAAACCATAGACTACAGTAAAAGTAAAGTGGGAAACTGAGGTAGAACTTGGTTACAGTAATAAACTGCTTGCCTCAAGCAGTCAGTGCTATACATTATAATAAGACGTCTATGTATACTGTATGTAGATTACATTCCCTGGAGTGCTGTCCTCTCCTGGAGGGGAGGATGGATAAAACCCTTCAGACCATGACAATTTGACTAATATGGTCGCCGGTCCACCCATCACGGAGTGTTGACTTGAATGGAAATGTCTGTTCTAGTAATCTAATTCTATGCGGCTCTCTCTCTCCCCTGCAGTCCATTCCTCATTCTCAAGCAGCACAGACACAGCTTCCCTGGCCCCATACTGACTGACACTGGGTACTTCCCATTTGGCATGGTGGATAATATTCTGTAGAGAGGAAGCCAATTCTGAGTGATTCAGCGTTCCTCTGAGTGATACTGAAGGAATGTGAATGTGAGTGAAGTGTTTGACAACCACCTGACCCAGGGTTACTGTGTCACTGCTCAAAGAGAAAGAGGGAAGGCTTTGGCTGCCAACTTAGTTTTTCTCCAGGAATTCTTCATGGTTCAAGGTTTTGTTGAATCTGTTGACATGTTTATTTTTTTTGCAGGTTAAGTGGCTTATGTGTGGCCTTTACTATCAGACTATGTAGCGCTTGGTTATGCTCTACGTTTTATCAACTCTTTGTAATGCTGTTGGCCATGCCACGACGAGGCTCTTGACTGTGGGCCTACCATGCCTGATTCTTTTCTTTTAATGGTGGTTGGAGGAGAAGGGGAGTGTGGGAGTAGGATAGGTCTACTTGTAATTGTCAGACACACCGGGCCGACAGATTCATAGGCTGGCATCCAATGATTTTGCTACATGTCACTGTTGTTTCAAACAATGGTGAGCACAGCGTTCAGTCTGGTTTAACCAGCTAATCGATTCAGTCGCCCTCATCTCTTTTCCAGAGGAAGGCCCTACTTTGAAAAGTAGCAGATTGTCTTTTCTTTCTGGAGCAGCTTGTTTCTCCTCCACCCTCCTTTTCTCCTAGGAACCACCAATTGTATAGTGTTGTAGTCCCTGGCAGGATTCATGACCCAATTTAATATGGCCTAAGAAGAAAAAGAGAGCAGGGAGGAATCAATAGCTAATGTGAGCTGATCTCAATACGGTCTTTACTGGAACTCATTATTTTCTGTATTTCTCTCCCACGGCCGGCCTTTGGGTCATATTGATCACATCTTGTGCTTTTACTTCAATAAAAGCTCCTTATTGCCTATAAAGAAGACCTTCCTGCAAGCTTGCATTGTTCGTGTGAGTCGTTTTTAGACGGCCGACGTGAGTGAAGGGCTTGAAGGTTTGATGAGTCCCAGATCAACGCTCCTGTTTTGCGTTTTGTAATTAGGTTGGTGAATTAACACTAACACTAGCTCCATTAGCCCCTTTGCAGAAATAGAAATGGTAATAATGAAATCCTTCACTGTTGCAATGTCATTTCACATTTGACTCAGAACTCTGAGCTCTGGAGATAGTACAGAATGGCACAGATTGTATGGCTCAACATTAACATAGTCATACCCCTCACACTATTGTGTCAACCTGAACCAAACTGTGGTGCCTTTTTTCCTTTTGTACACAGTTTCAGCTGCTATGGTGGATGCATAACCAGGCCAGCTCCATACAGCTTGGTTTTGCTCAGCTTGGTTTTGTTTGGCACAGTAGTAGGACTTTGAAAAGCCCAAGTGTGTATTAATGTCCTATGCATCATGTGTTCTCTCTCTCCCTCTCGCTTTCTTTACCTCTCTTGCTCTCTCTCTCACTCACTCACTTTCTCCATCCCTCTCTCTGCAGGTGTAATGAGGTTTCTGGTCATGGACAGATGATGGATGTGGAGACAACAACGTCGTACTCTGACTTCATCAATTGTGATCGTACAGGCCGCAGGAACGCAGTACCTGACATCCAGGGACAGGGGGCAGGAGCCAGCACCAGTGAATTAACCAAAGACATGGAAGGGATGGAGCTGAAGGCTGCAGGTGAGCATATATGCTATATAACCAGGAGGTGTCTTATGGTTTTATGATTTTATTAGGATCCACATTAGCCGACGCTGATGGCGACAGCTAGGCTTCCTGGGGTCAGACACATAACGAAAAATACATTATAGACAAAGATACTTTACAATTGACATACATGTAAAACATTAACATAGACATTAGACTTATACAGTGCATTCGGAAAGTATTCAGACCCCTTCCCTTTTTCCAGATTTTGTTACGTTACAGCCTTATTCTATAATAGATTAAATAAATAAAAAATCTACCCACAATACCCCATAATGGCAAAACGAAAACAGGTTTTTAGAAATGTTTGCACATTTATTACAAATAAAAAGCATACCTTATTTACATTTACAACAATACAACTAAAGCATAAGTGTGTGTGTGTGTGTGTGTGTGCGCGTGCGTGCGCGCGTCTATCGGTTACACATACAGTACCAGTCAAAAGTTTGGACACATCTACTCATTCAAGGGTTTTTCTTTATTTTTACTATTTTCTACATTGTAGAATAATAGTGAAGACATCAAAACTATGAAATAACACATATGGAATCATGTAGTAACCAAACAAATGTTAAACAAATCAAAATATATTTTATATTTGCGATTCTTCAAAAAGCCACCCTTTGCCTTGATGACAGCTTTTCACACTCTTGCCATTCTCTCAACCAGCTTCACCTGGAATGCTTTTCCAACAGTCTTGAAGGAGTTCCCACATATGCTGAGCACTTGTTGGCTGCTTTTCCTTCACTCTGCGGTCCGACTCATCACAAACCATCTCAGTTGGGTTGAGGTCGGGGGATTGTGGAGGCCAGGTCATCTGATGCAGCACTCCATCACTCTCCTTCTTGGTAAAATAGCCCTTACACAGCCTGGAGGTGTGTTGGGTCATTGTCCTGTTAAAAAACTAATGACAGTCCCGCTAAACCCAAACCAGATGGGATGGCATATCGCTGCAGAATGCTGTGGTAGCCATGCTGGTTAAGTGTGCCTTGAATTCTAAATAAATCACAGAGAGTGTCACCAGCGAAGCACCATCACACCTCCTCCTCCATGCTTTACGGTGGGAACTACACATGCAGAGATCATCAGTTCACCCACACCGTGTCGCACAAACACACGGCGGTGGCAATCAGAAATCTCCAATTTGGACTCCAGACCAAAGGACACATTTCCACCGGTCTAATGTCCATTGCTCGTGTTTCTTGGCCCAAGCAGGTCTCTTCTTCTTATTCGTGTCCTTTAGTAGTGGTTTCTTTGCAGGAATTCGACCATGAAGGCCTGATTCACACAGTCCCCTCTGAACAGTTGATGTTGAGATGTGTCTGTTGCTTGAACTCTGTGAAGCATTTATTTGGGCTGCAATTTCTGAGGCTGGTAACTCAAATGAACTCATCCTCTGCAGCAGAGGAAACTCTGGGTCTTCAATTCCTGTGGCGGTCCTCATGAGAGCCAGTTTCATCATAGCGCTTGATGGTTTTTGCGACTGCACTTGAAGAAACTTTCAAAGTTCTTGAAATATTCATGTCTTAAAGTAATGATGGACTGTCATTTCTCTTTGCTTATTTGAGCTGTTCTTGCCATAATATGGACTTGGTCTTTTACCAAATAGGGCTATCTTCTGTATACCCCCCTACCTTGTCACAACACAACTGATTGGCTCAAACGCATTAAGAGGAAAATAAATTCCACAAATTAACTTTTAACAAGGCACACCTGTTAATTGAAATGCATTCCAGGTGACTACCTCATGAAGCTGGTTGAGAGAATGCCAAGAGTGTGCAAAGCTGTCATCAAGGCAAAGGGTGGCTATTTGAAGAATCTCAAATATAACATATATTTTGATTCGTTTAACACTTTTTTGGTCACTAGTGTAAATGTCAGCACACTGTGCACAGTACACTTCAGTACACTGTGCACAGTGCATAAAAAGTAGGTCACATGGGGAGAGGCATTGTGCCGTGAGGTGTTGCTTTATTCGTTTTTTGATACCAGGTTTGCTGTTCACTTGCGCTATATGAGACAGTTTATGTGGAAAAGGTTCCTTTTGTGGTTGCTGTGTTTTTAATGGACCATGTTTCCTCTGTCTTTCAGAAGGAGACTCTGGTGCATCACCAGCCCCTGAGGGTGAAGGGTCGACCAGCCAAGAGGCCCAGGGAGGCAAGGGCCCATCGTAAACCACCTCACAGGAGAGGAGAGAGGGACACACGGAGAGAGGATCTACTGGTTGTCCTGCCTGACTGAACCCTACTCCTCTCCTAGCCCAACAGTGATGACATCAAAAATGATGACATCATCTCTCACCGTGTTGCTCTGATGGAGCTTTGCTGGTCCAGTTGCATGATGCTTCTTCTCCTTTATCAATTGGCATTGTGGGAAATGGAGTTGACAACTTGACAGTTGACAAGTAGGACTACATCTGATCCTGGCCTATAGTTGCTGCAGGACTACAGTGGTAAAGGAAACGTTCTCAAATCACTATCAGAAAGCACAGAACTTTGGATCGAACTCCCATCAAGAAGCAGAGCTATACAGAATATATAATCATTTGTTACTCCTTTTGTTTTGTGTACGTTTGTGACCCAGTTAACATTTTTCATTAGTTTACTCCTTTCTTTTACAATAACACATGAAGTTGCAATTACAATGTACTGTAATGGAGGTCATATTTATTTCAAATGGTTCTCTGATACCTTTGTAATAGGAATTTCTTTGTGTAATAAAATGTGTAATATGGGTCTTCTGTAACAGTTGTTTTTGTTATGGTAGGCCTCTGTGTATACTTTGGCTGTTGGAACACCTTGTCTCATCTTCAGAATACACAGCATTGCTATTGATAGACTACCGAAGGCCCTCCTGGAATATTTAATTTCCTTCAGTGAATGGTTTGAAATTCCATTTGTCCTTTCAGTGCTCAGAATACAGCTAGTTGGATTTATGTTGTTCTCAAGGAAATTCGCAGTTTTCTATTGGTTTTTAACCCATTACAGTCCAAGCTATATGGAATTGTTTTAAGAAAGTCATACCAAGGATCATTTAGTTATTTGATTTTGAATTCTAAGACCCCAGAAAATGTGACCTTACTGCTATTAGCCCACTCATTGAATAACATATTCACTACATGGAACAACAGTCCCCCAAAAAAATATAAAGGAAGTTTGTTCTGATGTGCCTATTCTATATCTGAGAGATATAAAGAAAGATCAGGATTATTTAAAAATTATATATATACAGTGGGGAGAACAAGTATTTGATACACTGCCGATTTTGCAGGTTTTCCTACTTACAAAGCATGTAGAGGTCTGTAATTTTTATCATAGGTACACTTCAACTGTGAGAGACGGAATCTAAAACAAAAATCCAGAAAATCATATTGTATGATTTTTAAGTAATTAATTTGCATTTCATTGCATGACATAAGTATTTGATACATTAGAAAAGCAGAACTTAATATTTGGTACAGAAACCTTTGTTTGCAATTACAGAGATCATACGTTTCCTGTAGGTCTTGACCAGGTTTGCACATACTGCAGCAGGGATTTTGGCCCACTCCTCCATACAGACCTTCTCCAGATCCTTCAGGTTTCGGGGCTGTCGCTGGGCAATACGGACTTTCAGCTCCCTCCAAAGATTTTCTATTGGGTTCAGGTCTGGAGACTGGCTAGGCCACTCCAGGACCTTGAGATGCTTCTTACGGAGCCACTCTTTAGTTGCCCTGGCTGTGTGTTTCGGGTCGTTGTCATGCTGGAAGACCCAGCCACGACCCATCTTCAATGCTCTTACTGAGGGAAGGAGGTTGTTGGCCAAGATCTCGCGATACATGGCCCCATCCATCCTCCCCTCAATACGGTGCAGTCGTCCTGTCCCCTTTGCAGAAAAGCATCCCCAAAGAATGATGTTTCCACCTCCATGCTTCACGGTTGGGATGGTGTTCTTGGGGTTGTACTCATCCTTCTTCTTCCTCCAAACACGGCGAGTGGAGTTTAGACCCAAAAGCTCTATTTTTGTCTCATCAGACCACATGACCTTCTCCCATTCCTCCTCTGGATCATCCAGATGGTCATTGGCAAACTTCAGACGGGCCTGGACATGCGCTGGCTTGAGCAGGGGGACCTTGCGTGCGCTGCAGTATTTTAATCCATGACGGCGTAGTGTGTTACTAATGTTTTTTTTGAGACTGTGGTCCCAGCTCTCTTCAGGTCATTGACCAGGTCCTGCCGTGTAGTTCTGGGCTGATCCCTCACCTTCCTCATTATCATTGATGCAACACGAGGTGAGATCTTGCATGGAGCCCCAGACCGAGGGTGATTGATCGCTATCTTGAACTTCTTCCATTTTCTAATAATTGCGCCAACAGTTGTTGCCTTCTCACCAAGCTGCTTGCCTATTGTCCTGTAGCCCATCCCAGCCTTGTGCAGGTCTACAATTTTATCCCTGATGTCCTTACACAGCTCTCTGGTCTTGGCCATTGTGGAGAGGTTGGAGTCTGTTTGATTGAGTGTGTGGACAGGTGTCTTTTATACAGGTAACGAGTTCAAACAGGTGCAGTTAATACAGGTAATGAGTGGAGAACAGGAGGGCTTCTTAAATAAAAACTAACAGGTCTGTGAGAGCCGGAATTCTTACTGGTTGGTAGGTGATCAAATACTTATGTCATGCAATACAATGCAAATTAATTACTTAAAAATCATACAATGTGATTTTCTGGATTTTTGTTTTAGATTCCATCTCTCACAGTTGAAGTGTACCTATGATAAAAATTACAGACCTCTACATGCTTTGTAAGTAGGAAAACCTGCAAAATCGGCAGTGTATCAAATACTTGTTCTCCCCACTGTGTGTGTGTGTGTATGTATGTATGTATGTATGTATGTATGTGTATATATATATATATATATATATATATATTTATATTTTACATGTATTTAACCCCTTATTTTTGGCACTAAACAGTCTCCATATATACTTCCATTCATTTTTTTCAACTGGTACCGGGGGACCTTCAGACAAGTCTTGTGGGCATCCTAGATCAAAACAACCGACATGTTTGTGAGAGTCTCACCTTTCGCCAGAGGGGTCATATTGGTGTGTAGCCCAAACGGTTCGGACGCTACCGATAGAAGTTGGCAGATCGGCTGTACCGACTTCAGACGAGTCCCAAGACGCTTGTGGGGGCCGTAGAGCAAAACTGAGACATGAGTCTCATCTTTCCATAGAGGGGTCATAATAGTTTTGCGGCTCTGTCACCTTTCACCGCAGATGCGGAAGTGCGATATCGGCGCATGAGGTGGATTGAGACACATCCAATGCAAAAAAACTGATGCACTACATGACCAATGCAAAAAAACTGATGCACTACATGACCAAAAGTATGTGGACACCTGCTCGTCGAACATCTCATTTCAAAATCATGGGCATTAATATGGAGTTGGTCCCCCCTTTGCTGCTATAACAGCCTCCACTCTTCTGGGAAGGCTTTCCACTGGAAAATTGCTGCGGGGACTTGCTTCCATTCAGCCACGAGCATTAGTGAGGTCGGGCATTGATGTTGGGCGATTAGGCCTGGCTCGCAGTCACTGTTCCAATTAATCCCCAAAGTGTTCGATGGGGTTGAGGTCGGGCCTCTGTGCAGGCTAGTCAAATTCTTCCACACTGATCTCAACAAAACATTTCTGTATGAACCTTGCTTTGTGCACGGGGCCAATGTCATGCTGAAACAGGAAATTGCCATCCCCAAACTGTTGCCACAGTATGCTGTAGCATTAAGATTTCCCTTCACTGGAACTAAGGGGCCTAGCCAGAACCATGAAAAACAGCCCCAGGGCATTATTCCTCCTCCACCAAACTTTACAGTTGGCACTATGCATTGGGGCAGGTAGCGTTCTCCTGGCATCCGCCAAACCCTGATTCGTCCGTTGGACTGCCAGATGGTGAAGCGTGATTCATCACTCCAGAGAATGCGTTTCCACTGCTCCAGAGTCCAATGGTGGCGCGCTTTACACCACTGCAGCCGACGCTTGGCATTGCGCATGGTGATCTTAGGCTTGTGTGCGGCTGCTCGGCCATGGAAGCCCATTTCATGAAGCTCCCGACGAAAAGTCATTCCGCTGACGTTGCTTCAAGAGGCAGTTTGGAACTCAGTAGTAAGTGTTGCAACCAAGGACAGATTATTTTTACATGCTAAGCGCTTCAGCACTCGGCAGTTCCGATCTGTGAGCTTGTGTGGCCAACCACTTCGTGGCTGAGCCGTTGTTGCTCCTAGACGTTTCCACTTCATTATAACAGCAATTACAGTTGACTGGGGCAGCTCTAGTAGGGCAGAAATTTGACTAACTGACTCGTTGGAAAGGTGGCATCCTATGACGGTGCAATGTTGAAAGTCACTGAGCTCGTCAGTAAGGCCCTTCTACTGCCAATGTTTGTCGATGGAGATTGCATGGCTGTGTGCTCGATTTTATTAATCTGTCATCAACTGGTGTGGCTGAAATAGCCGAATCCACTAATTTGAAAGGGTGTCCACAGTTTGTATATGTAGTGTATATCTATCTTAAATTGACAGATATTTATGGGGATTTTTTATATTCTGCTAATTATACTAAACAAAAATATAAACGCCACATGCAACAATTTTGAAGACTTTAATGAGTTACAGTTCATATGAGGAAATCAGTCAATTGAAATAAACTCATTAGGCCCTAATCTGTGGATTTCACATGACTGGGAATACAGATATGCATCTGTTAGTCATAGATAACTTTTTTTTTATGGTAGCGGCGTTGATCAGAAAACCAGTCAGTATCTTGTGTGACCACCATTTTCCTCATGCAGCGCAACACATCTCCTTCGCATAGAGTTGATCAGGCTGTTGACTGTGGCCTGTGGAATGTTGTCCCACTCCTCTTCAATGGCTGTGCGAAGTTGCTTGATATTGGAGGGAGCTGGAACACGCTGTCGTACACGTCGATCCACAGCATCCCAACCATGCCCATGGGTGATATGTCTGGTGGGTATGCAGGCCATGGAAGAACTGGGACCTTTTCAGCTTCCAGGAGAGATCCTTGCGACCTGGGGCCATGCATTATCATGCTGAAACATGAAGTGATGGCGGTGGATGAATTGCATGACAATGGGCCCCAGGATCTCATCACGGTATCTCTGTGCATTCAAATTGCCATTGATAAAATGCAATGGTGTTCGTTGTCCGTAGTTTATGCCTGCCCGTACCATAATCCCACCACCACCATGGGGCACTCTGTTCACAACGTTGACATCATCAAACCACCCGGCCACACGCCATACACGTTGTCTGTGGTTGTGAGGCTAGTTGGACGTATTGCCAAATTCTCTAAAACAACATTCGATGCGGCTTATCGTAGAGAAATTACAATTAAATTATCTTGCAACAGGTTCTGGTGGACATTCCTGCAGTCAGCATGCCAATTCCACGCTCCCTCAAAACCTGAAAACAAAACGTTTGAGTGGCCTTTTATTGTCCCCAGCTGTTATGAGCATGCTGTTTAATCAGCTTCTTGAAATGCCACACCTGTCAAGTGGATGGATTATTTTGGCAAAGGAGAAATGCTCACTAACAGGGATGTAAACAAATTTATGCACAACATTTTTGTAATTATGGAAAATGTCTATCTTTTATTTCAGCTCATGAAACAGGGGACCAACACTACATGTTGCATTTATATTTTTGTTCAGTGTAGATTTAGGGGGTTCGACTCTAGGGTTTTTTAAAACAATGGCGTTAGCCCGTTCAAAGAAACATGACTGATGGAAGTTGAATATTTGCACTTATCATAATTATGACCATATGCAGCTTTGTGTACATTGGAGTGGTCACAGGAAGCCAATGTTTACATTTTGGCCTGTAGGAAGGCGCCCCTGCACTTCCATTTACAGTAAGTCTTTATTCGATAAAGGAGAAGAAGAGGCATGTTTTAGTGAAGTGTTACTCATTAGGAGGCTCTCCAAGTGCCTGGGTCCTACTGATTCTCCATAGCTGTGCTTCTCCAGTAAGAGATTCAATATATAAGTTGCCATTAAATGTGGTTTTACATTTGAATTACATTGTGTATAGTGAGGTGATGTCCATGTTGTAGTTTTATTCTGATACTTTTCAAGAATGACAATTTAAGATGCAAAAGTGTTTTATTGTAGACATTGCTCATATTTTAACGTCATTGTCCTCCACAGAAGATATGTAATAAATTGAATTACTTTCAAATTAGTAAAATGCAAAAATATATAAAATGTTTTACGCTCTAAATCAGAGAAAAATATATAAGTTGTTATTCTTAAAACTAAGACCACTTTAGTAGGCGTTACTCTCCACCCAATGAGATGACAGTACAGTAGTAGATACAGTTCGCCACCTAGTGCATTACATGTTTAGAAAATATTTGGTATAGAGTTAGTAAACCTGATGCATCCCCACATTTTTTACAGTAAGTTGTGGGCATGGTGTGGGAAAGGTTCAGAACTTTTGTAAAACATCACAGTACCATTCAATCCTATATGGATGGTGTTAAGAGATAGATGGGAGGTGTTGAATGGAGTTGAAGGATGGGACTAATAACAACTAACAACAAATAATAACAAGATAACTAATAATGTAAGCATACTGTGTCCATAATAAGTATATAGGTTGTATGTTGGGAGCTTTTGGGAAAGAGCACAGTTAGAAAGATATGGCATATAGAAGCAAACCGGTTGGACATCATGAAAATGATCGGAGGTTGAGAGTAGAAGTAGTTCAGGAGAAAAAACAAACAAAATATAATTTTTTTGTCCATAAAATGTAGATAGTAAGTATAAGCTGGAAGTAGAGGCCTAAGCATTGTTGTTCACTAATTTACCCCAAGTAGGGAAAGGATGGCAGGGTTGAAAAGTAATAAAGGGGAGTATATATATAAAAAACATGGGGGATTGGAAGTGATGCAGACAATTACATTGATGGAAGTTACAATCCATCTACAATATTAAGCTGATCTACCCCCAAAAAATTAATAAAAATAAAAACATTTAAAAAACGAGTTGTGGGCATGGTGATTCGAATGGTCTATGGGCCTATCTCACTTGGCCTAGGCATAACTGATGTATAGTACACAATAGCTTTCCTTTACCACCAGTTAATGAAAAGTACTTTCCTTCAAGCATAAATGCATAGTACACATCTATTACATTCCATGAATGATATATACCGGATGCAAAAAGTACTTTGAGAATTGACTGTGAGGCATACAAAGTGCTTGTTGTTTGATGAGGCAAGGTAAGTTATTACTGTGTTTCACTATGAGAAAGACCAAACAGGTTGAAATAACAAATTATTTAAGACCACCTTTACATTTCTGCACCAATTCACAGTAGACTAAACAACTGCTTTATCCGTGGGATCCACAGTTAGATGGAATACTGATTAACAGTTTTCTTCATTGCGATGAGAGTGTTTGAGCTATGTACAGCAGTACAATAATGTATTGCTGGTTCAATCTATGTACGCATAGGAAGGAGCATAGACATTCCAGAGTGCCAAGTTGGGGAAGTAAGAGTTTAAAGTGGTTGGTTGCTGGTTTGTTGTATTGCCATTTAAGCGAATCTGATCAGTGCTTCATTTAAAAGCCAGTGTTCTCCACCATTCCATAGGCTTCATACAACTTGTTCACAAGATCCTTCTTCTCCTTCTCAGGCAAAAAGCTGGAGTTAGCTGAGTTTATGTTCTGGAAAACAAGGTGAGTGAGAGAGAATCATTAAACCATCCAAAGGTGAGGATACTGTAGTATTTTACACACAGTGCATTCAGAAAGTATTCCGACCCCTTGAATTTTTCCACATTTTGTTACGTTACAGCCTTATTTTAAAATTGATTACATTGTTTAATTCCCCTCAATCTACACACAATACCCCATAATGACTAAGCGAACACAGGTTTTTCGATTTTTTTTTGCAAAAATAAATAAATAAAAACTGAAATATCACATTTACATAAGTATTCAGACCCTTTACTGAGTACTTTGTTGAAGCACCTTTGGCAGCAATTACAGCCCCGAGTCTTCTTGGGTATGACGCTACAATCTTAGCACACAGGTGGGCTCCCAAGTGGCGCAGCGGTCTAAGGCACTGCATCTCAGTGCTTGAGGCGTCACTACAGACCCCCTGGTTCGATTCCAGGCTGTATCACAACCGGCCGTGATTGGGAGTCCCAAAGGGCGGCACACAATTGGCCCAGCGTCGTCCGGGTTTGGCCGGTGTAGGCCGTCATTGTAAATAAGAATTTATTCTTAACTGACTTGCCTAGTTAAATAAAGGAAAAAAAAAAAAAAAAAACTGTATTTTGGGAGTTTCTACCATTCTTCTCTGCAGATCCTCTCAACCTCTGTCAGGTTGGATGGGGAGCGTCGCTGCACAGCTATTTTCAGGTCTCTCCAGAGATCTTCAAATCGGGTTCAAGTCTGGGCTCTGGCTGGGCACTCAAGGACATTGAGACTTGTCCCGAAGCCACTCCTGCGTTGCCTTGGCTGTGTGCTTAGGGTCGTTGTCCTGTTGGAAGGTGAACCTTCGCCCCGGTGTGAGGTCCTGAGCGCTCTGGAGCAGGTTTTCATCAAGGATCTCTCTGTACTTTGCTCCGTTCATCTTTCCCTCGATCCTGACTAGTCTTCCAGTCCCTGCCGCTGAAAAACATCCCCACAGCATGACGCTGCAACCATCATGCTTCACCGTAGGGATGGTTCCAGGTTTCCTCCAGATGTGATGCTTGGCATTCAGGGAAAAGAGTTCAATCTTGTTTTCTTCAAACCAGAGAATCTTGTTTCTCATGGTCTGAGAGTCTTTAGGTGCCTTTTGGCAAACTCCAAGCGGGCTGTCATGTGACTTTTACTGAGGAGTGGCTTCCGTCTGGCCACTCTACCATAAAGGCCTGATTGGTGGAGTGCTGCAGAGATGGTTGTCCTTCTGGAAGGTTCTCCCATCTCCACAGAGGAACTCTGGGGCGCTATCAGAGTGACCATCGGGTTCTTGGTCACCTCCCTGATCAAGGCCCTTCTCCACCAATTGCTCAGTTTGGCTGGGCGGCCAGCTCTAGGAAGAGTCTTGGTGGTTCCAAACTTCTTCCATTTAAGAATGATGCAGGCCACTGTGTTCTTGTGGACCTTCAATGTTGCAGAAATGTTTTGGTACCCTTCCCCAGATCTGTGCCTCGACACAATCCTGTCTCGGAGCTCTACAGACAATTCCTTCGCCCTCATGGCTTGGTGTTTGCTCTGACATGCACTGTCAACTGTGGGACCTTATATAGACAGGTGTGTGCCTTTCCAAATCATGTCCAATCAATTGAATTTACCACAGGTGGATTCCAATCAAGTTGTAGAAACATCTCAAGGATGATCAATGGAAACAGGATGCACCTGAGCTCAATTTCAAGTCTCATAGCAAAGGGTCTGAATACTTATGTAAATAAGGTATTTTTGTTTTTTATTTTGAATAAATTTGATACAATTTCCAAAAAACTGTTTTAACTTTTTCATTATTGCGTATTGTGTGTAGATTGCTGAGATTTTTTTTTTTTTAATCCATTTTAGAATAAAGCTGTAACGTAACAAAATGTGGAAAAGGTCAAAGGGTCTGAAAGCACTGTACATGGTATTATCAACAGTGGTAGATAGTATTTCACGGTATTAAACCACAATGCCAAATAGGAATAAGAGTTCAAATGTGCTTTGTACCAGTCTCTTGAATTCCTCCTCAGTGAAGCCCATGTACTTCTGGGCAGTGCTGTAGTCTAAGTGCAGGGTGGAGTTGAAAATCAAAGGGTCATCTGTGTTCAGGGAGTAGTTGGCCTTATCCTCCCTGAACCTACACACCCACACACACCCCCCCCCCACACACACACACACACACACACACACACACACACACACACACACACACACACACACACACACACACACACACACACACACACACACGTCATTCAGAGGGGAGGAAGTAAACCCAAACCAAAATGAAACTAGCTAAGCCTGTACTGCGATCTTTATGAATAGGTGAAACTTGATCCAAAGAAGTATCATTCTAATAATATACTGAGTGAAAGACCGCTTACGTGATGACAGGATGCTCTGTGAAGTCTGGATTACAGGCTCCAGTCAGTTTGCTGGATATGGGACACACCTGAAATCACACAGCATTCCTTCATGTACCTATAGGCTCCAACCTTTTCCAGAAGTGTGCCCTTGCACACTCCCACTCATTGGTTTAAAAAAACATACGATTAGTGTAAGTTAAATCCATGTTAAATTGTTAAATCCATGCCAGAAAGTGTACAAGTGCAGAATTCAAAATAAGGAGTGGTGAATCAGGACGGGGTCAGATGTACGGCTAGCGGACGAGACTAGTCTGTGTGATGTTTCTCCGTGACCACCAGAGGTCACTGTGCACTAGCTGCCATACAGGCCTCCATGGTACGATAGACACCGAGTGGACAAAACATTAGGAACACCTGCTCTTTCCATGACAGAGCAGGTGAATCCAGGTGAAAGCTATGATCCCTTATTGATGTCACTTGTTAATCCACTTCAATCAGTATAGATGAAGGGGAGGAGACAGGTTAAATATGGATTTTTAAGCCTTCAGACAATTGAGACATTGATTGTGTAGGTGTGCCATTCAGAGGGTGAATGGGCAAGACAAAAGATTGAAGTGCCTTTGAACAGGGTATGGTAATAGGTGTCAGGCGCACCGGTTTGAGTGTGTCAAGAACTGCAACACTGCTGGGTTTGTCATGCCCAATAGTTTCCAGTGTGTATGAAGAATGGTCCACCACACAAAGGCCATCCAGCCAACTTGACACAACTGTGGGAAGCATTGGAGTCAACATGGGCCAGCATTCTACACCTTATAGAGTCCATGCCCCGACGAATTGAGGGTGTTCTGATGGCAAAAGGGGGTGCAACTCAATATTAGGAAGGTGTTCCTAATGTTTTGTACACGGTCTATTTGACTTGTTTTATGAGGTATAGTGATACATCATGTAATATACTATGTCTACAAAGTTCAATGTAACTGTCATTACAGGTGAATATAAATGTGCACATTCTTACCTCAAAATGCATGTTCTGTTCCAGGAGCTGTTTGTACAACACTTGATCCTCCAGAGTGTTGTAACCATGTCCTACTCTCTCTGCTTTCAGGACCTCCACAGCCTGAAGAAGACATCAGATATGGGTCACCAAGCAATTCACAAAGGCATGTTAAATATGTTTTTTTTGGGGGAGGGGTTATTTTTCTCCCCGCTCTGCTGACGAGTATATTTTTCTCCACTCATATGGGTGTAATAAAGGTCTAGTGACAAAATTGTGATTGTGATTTATTTTAATTTTATATAATTATTTTTTCATTGTGATTTATCAAGGGGTGCTGCAGCACCCTCAGCACCCCTACTTCCCACGGCTATGCACAAAGGTTAAGGTAAAAATATTTTCATATACACATGTTAGCAGAACTACTGGCTATTGGGGTAAATCCATATGAATTCAATCACATTTTGACAGCATCCCTATTGATTTAAACAAAACCTTCCATACATGTTTGCCCATGGAAAAAGTGGTCAGAAAGTGACTTTTTGGACCTGAATTTCAAAATATTCAGGAGATAGCGGTGCTCAAAGTTGACCCATTTTGCATACCCCACCATACCATGCTACAGTGCCTTCAGAAATTATTCACACCTCTTGATTTTTTCCACATTTAGTTGTGTTACAGCCTAAATTGAAAATTTATTAATAGCGATTGTTTTTCATTGACCTACACACAATACCCCATAATGTCAAAGTGAAATGATGTAAAAAAAAAAAAATATATATATATATATATATAATATACTTTTATTACAAATGAAAAGCTGAAATGTCTTGAGTCAATAAGTACTCAACCCCTTTGTTATGGCTACTGTAAATATGTTCAGGAGTAACAATGTGCATGGACTCACTCTGTGTGCAATAATAGTTTTTGAAGGACTAAGGTCCCTCAATCTAGCATTGAATTTAAAATACAGATTCAACCACAAAGACCAGGGAGGTTTTCCAATGCCTCGCAAAGGGCACCGATTGGTAAATGGGTAAAATAAAAAAGTAGACATTGAATATCCCTTTGAGCATGGTGAAGTTATTAATTACACTTTGGATGGTTTATCAATACACCCAGTCACTACAAAGATACAGGCATCCTTCCTAACTCAGTCGCCGGAGAGGAAGGAAACTACTCAGGTATTTCACCATGAGACCAATGGTGACTTTAAAACAGTTGCAGAGTTTAATGGCTGTGATAGGCGAAAACTGAAGATGGATCAACAACATTGTAGTTACTCTACAATACTAACATAATTGACAGAGTGAAAAGAAGGAAGCCTGTACAGAATAGAAAATATTCAAAAACATGCATCCTGTTTGCAACAAGGCACTAAAGTAATACTGCAAAAAATTTGGCAAAGCAATAAACTTTATGTCCTGAATACAAAGTGTTGTGTTTTGGGCAAATCCAATATAACACATTTATTTATTTTTATTTAACTAGGCAAGTCAGTTAAGAACAAATTCTTATTTACAATGACGGCCTATACCGGCCAACGCTGAGCCAATTGTGCGCCGCCCTATGGGACTCCCAATCACAGCCGGCTGTCATACAGCCTGGAATCGAACCAGGGGGTCTGTAGTGACGCCTCAAGTACTGAGATGCTGTGCCTTAGACCGCTGCGCCACTCGGGAGCACATTACTGAGTACCACTCCATATTTTCAAGCATAGTGGTGGCTGCATCATGTTATGGGTATGCTTGTAATCGTTAAGGACTGGGGAGTCTTTCAGGATCAAAAATAAACTGAATGGAGCTAAGCATAGGCAAAATCCTAGATGAAAATCTGGTTCAGTCTGCTTTCCAACAGACACTGCGAGATGAATTCACCTTTCAGCAGGACAATAACCTAAAACACAAGGCCAAATCTACACCGGAGTTGCTTACCAAGAAGACAGTGAATGTTCCTGAGTGGCCGAGTTACAGCTTTGACTTAAATCTATACTGAACAAAAATATAAAACGCATAATGTAACAATTTCAAAGATTTTACTAAATGACAGATCATATAAAGGAAATCAGTCAATTGAAATAAATAAATTAGGCCCTAATATATGGATTACACATGACTGGGCAGGGGTGCAGCCATGGGTGGGTCTGGGAGGGCATAGGCCCACCCACTTGGGAGACTGGCCCACCCAACGGGGAGCAAGGCCCAGCCAATCAGAATACGTTTTTCCCCACAAAAGGGCTTTATTACAGACAGAAATACTCCTCAGTTTCATCAGCTGTCCGGGTGGCTGGTCTCCGACGATCCCGCAGGTGAAGAAGCCGGATGTGGAGATCCTGGGCTGGCGTGTTTACAAGTGGTCTGCGGTTGTCAGGCCGAATTCTCTAAAACGACGTTGGAGGCGGCTTATGGTAGAGAAATTAACATTACATTATCTGGCAACTGCTCTGGTGGACATTCCTGTAGTCAGCATGCCAATTGCACGCTCCCTCAAAACATCTGTGGCATTGTTGTGTGACAAACCCCACGACACTGGGCCAATTGCAGCCTGGGATCGAACCTGGGTCTGTAGTGACGCCTCTAGCACTGCGATGCAGTGCCTTAGACCGCTGCGCCACTCGGGAGGCCCTGATCAACAACAAATTTGACAGGGCTTGAAGATTTCTTTTAACGAATAATGGCAAATGTTGCACAATCCACTTAGAGACTCACAGCAGTAATCGCTGCCAAAGGTGCTTCTACAAAGCACTGATTCAGGGGTGTGAATACTTATGTAAATGAGATATTTCATTGTCAATACATTTGCTACAATTTCTAAAAACGTGGTCATTTTGTCAGTATGTAGATGGGTGGAAAAAAAAACAATTTAATTCATTTTGAATTAAGGCTGTAACACAACAACATGTGGAATAAGTCAAGGGGTATGAATACTTTGAAGGCACTGTATCATTTAAAAGCTTACAAACAGGGTTGTCAAATGATTTGATCATTTCAACAACAACAACAAAAAGATTAGAAACTGACATTTTTTTACCTTTAAAATGTTTTTGATTAAATGATCTTAAAACGCATAAACTCACAACTTTCTCCCACTGATCTTTGTCGATAGCGCTTGCTAAATTCTGGGCAGCAATGTTGTTGAGAGCAGTAGCAACACCTTTGCAGATTTCCATGTCTAACGTTATATCTTTAAAAAAAGCTGTGTGTGCTGTGTGTACTAAGTTGTTCAGTTGTTTATGTCTGAAATACATATTTAAGTTGTTATTAAAGGGGAGGGGAGATGTTTTCACAATGCAGTCACTTATAACGTAGTTCAGTGTATGACGTGGGTGTTGCTGCTGTGTGTTGAGTAGTAGAGGAAGTCTTGGGTCAAGTTGATCTGCCATTAGACATATAATTTAAAATGGACATATTTAGTGTTCCCCAAAGACTGTACAGGAAAGGAAAGCTCACCTCTTTCACCACAGAGGCAGGGCCCACCTCTCCAGCATGGACTGTTCTATGGATCCCACATCTCGCTGCTTCCTGTCAACAAGGTCGGTCATGAAAGCATCAACGCCAAGTTAACCACAGAACTATATGGGTTTTACATTAGCAATGCAGTTAGTCCCGACTGAAATACATTTCATTGTCTTGAAACTATGTAATTATACATGGATGAACCTACAGTCACAACATTATTCCAAGACCTCCGAGATTCCAAGAGCTCATGCTGCTGTCACGAGTAGGGAGCTTCTTTTTTGTTGCCAAGGGCTAGACTGAAAATAACTACATCTCACCAACAACATTTGAGAAATGGCTGATTTTGACAAAACCCAGCATTGCTTCTAAAAAATCTGAATCTAGAGCTTGTTCAGTTATGTTAACTGTCTGTATTAGTGCAGTGGTCTCTTTTAATACTCTCTTAAGGCCAGTTGCCCAGACGCAAATTGAGCCTAGTGCTGGTCTAAAAGGCATGCTTATATTCAATGAAGATTCTCCATTGAAAGTGCCATTTAGTCCAGGACCTAGTATTTTGCCCTGGCATGTCCAAATGTATCACTCCAGCCTTTGGTCAACCTTACCACAGTGTCCCCGATGTTGTCCTGAGGGAATGATTTAACGGTCTTGTATGTAAATCCATCACAAACCACCATAAACAAGGAAAATAGATCTATGTGCGCAGTCCGAACGAAATGGTTGTTGAAATGACGTATGCCAACTTTTTATTATTACATTTATTACCAATGTATAGTGTTTCTAAACTACAGCACAAATAGTTTTATTGCTCTGAAGTCATTTATTATTCTTGTTACGTTATTTTGTTTCAAGAAATGGCTCACAAGAATGATCTCTCCATCAAATGTGTCTCTAAAGTGACCTTAAGGTCTCAATGTACTGTATGGGTTCTACTACAGAGTAACTCAATTAGTTATTATGATAAGAAAGGTACAAATAATTGTCTAGTTGTCAAATAAATCAACCAATTGTAGGACTTAAATGTCTGCGGTTCTGCAACATGCCTTGTAAAGATTGGTTGTATGTTAACTTTGTTATCTGAAAACGGGTAGCCAACAGTGTCAAATGTGAAGAATTTGTATAGTATTTTCAGCACACCTTTGCTCTATGCTCCCAATCAATCAATCAAATTGTATTTATAAAGCCCTTTTTACATCACCAGATGTGTCATGAACCCTGCGTCCTGAGTCTGTTCCTGCCTGTGTTGCCGTTTTTCTGCTCGGTATCTCCTGTTTCCTGTAGGTGCCTGAACGCACCCTGTCTGGTTGCCGGGCGACGTTGCTAGGCGGGTGATCTCTCGATTAACCACACCTGCTTCTCATCAGCCTCGGCACACCTGGTCCTGATCATCACCCCTTCTTAAGCTCTGACCTGACATCCGTTCCCTGCCGGATCGTTAGCCATTAACAGTATGTTTTGTCAGCGTATCAGCCTCTGAGTACTAGCGTTAGTTTTGTTGTTTTTGCACCTTGTTGACCTGCCTTGTACTTACCTCTGTTTTTTCTGTCTACAGTCATTCTCCCGGAAACTTCACCCAACCCCTGCCGTGCCATCATTTAATCTGCCACTTCACCTCCATCTACTCATCTCCACCACCCGCTCCGTCTCCTGGATTATTCTGCATCTTTTGAATCTGTAAATAAACCCTCACCTTCGTTCAACTCACTGTGTCCTGGTCTGCTTCTGGGTTCTGTCTTAGAGAACCGTGACAAGATGTCACAAAGTGCTATACAGAAACCCAGCCTAAAAACCCCAAACAGCAAGCAATGCAGATGGAGAAGCACGGTGGCTAGGAAAAACTCCCTAGAAAGGCAGAAACCTAGAGAGGAACCAGGTCCAATTCATACTGTATGTGCTGTAGTCAACTCTTTTATCATTGTCACGCCAGCATGCATGGTTTATGGTAATGATAAAGGACTTGAGTTGGAGTGGGATCTCTCAACTTTAAGCCATAAAACTGAGCATGGTATGCTGCATGATAGTAGGACAGTGGTTAGCCTCATATCCTGCATACTATGTGCTAAAGCCAACTCTAGTCCTTTATTGTTACCATAAACCATGCATGCTGGCGTGACAATGATAAGAGTTGACTACAGCACATACAGTATAAATTGGACATGAAGGTTCAAAGTTAGGAAGTTACCTCATAGGCCATCCTATGTCCTTGTAAGGCCTCACAGTTGAGTGACTCGTCTCCTGCCAGATCAATAGCCACCACTCCATCCTTCTTATACTTCTTACACAACTCCACCACGTCCATGGACCAGCCTGCGCAACGCAACAACACACACATCTATCAGCAATAGCATCCCAGTAAGGTCAAACAGATTTGATTTTAAAACGCACAATGTTTGATTTGTGGGGATGTTTCTGAAATGTTTTCATGCTAGATTTTATGACCTAATGGTTATCTAAATGGTACGCTGCAGTCCACGATTGAGAGACAATGTGAATCATGCCAATCATCCCAGTAAAAGCTCATGGAAAGTAATGGTTGAAAAGGTCAAATTGTCCTGTTAACTTAAAAGCAGAATACAAATAAAAAATCTTACTACAGAACTGTTCACTGGAATGTCTGCCTAAAATAGCCACTGACATTTTGTTACATGTAATTACAAAAACAGATACTATGCTCTGGGAAGTCAGAAAGTTACATCCATCCAAATGACTTAACTAATACGCAGCGTTTCCATAACTCGGTCCCCTGGACCCGAAGGGGTGGACGTTTTGGGTTTTCCCCTAACACTACACAGCCGATTCAAATAATAAACTAATCATCAAGCTTTGATCATTTGAATCAGATGTGTAGTGTTAGGGCAAAAACCAAAACGTGCTTGGGATCCCGAGGACCGAGTTTGGGAAACCCTAAAAGGAGATCTCTTGTATGAGAGACAATGCTAGCTCTATTCTGTACTGTAACATAGGAGATGAGACTTGCAATTGTTCATTTAGTGATACAATTTAAAAACAAGAGCCCCTTTTTAGTGTCTGCATGCAGTCAGCAAATGGTGACGTTAGCTAAGGAGAAAACTCACTAATGTGCACAGTATCACACCATTGTCAAGTATAGATGGAATGAAACGGGACACAATCAGAAAATGACCACAACAGGAAGTGTGGACAGTGTTTTTAAATGTGAGATGTTTGGCCTGCAACCTTCTACAGTGTGATAAGGATCACAGAGAGCCACAGACACAGAACTTTAGACAGAGCCACAGACAGAGAGCCACAGACAGAAAACTACAGACAGGCCTCCCGAGTGGCGCAGCGGTCTAAGGCACTGAATCGCAGTGCTAGAGGTGTTTCGCAGCCGGCCGCGACCAGGAGACCCATGAGGTGGCGCCCAGCGTCGTCCGGGTTAGGGGAGGGTTTGGCCGGCTGGGATGTCCTTGTCCCATCGCGCTCTAGCGACTCCTTGTGGCGGTCGGGTGCATGCACGCTGACTTGGGTCGCCAGCTGTACGGTGTTTCCTCCAACACATTGGTGCGGCTGGCTTCCGGGTTAAGGGAGCAGTGTGTCAAGAAGCAGTGCGGCTTGGCAGGGTTGTGTTTTGGAGGACGCATGGCTCTCGACCTCTCGACCAACTCCGTATGGGAGTTGCAGCGATGGGACAAGACTGTAACTACCAATTGGATATCACGAAATAGGGGTAGAATGTACAACAACAAAAAGTATACTTTTTTAATACAGACAGAAAACTTCAGACAGAGAACTACAGACAATAAGGAGGGGATGAGCCAGACAGAGGACAGGAGCATGAACAGGACAGTGAGGGCATTACTTGGCATGTGGCGCATGCAGCACAGAATGGACCTGGCTTTGATATTGAACGCCTTCTCTCCATCAGCCAGTCCCTGGTTCACCAAGTGAACCACCTCATCTGGGCTCAGGTCACCTCTGGGAGAAGAGAGACAGTGAAATCAACACAGAGAGAATTCTTGAATGCATTTATATGTTTAATGTTATATGTTGTCATGACTGTAAGTCGCTTTGGATAAAAGCGTCTGCTAAATGGCATATTATTATTATTATTATTATGTTTGATCTCTAAGAACAAGAACAGATACCTACACAAGGAACTCAAAGAAGTACTGTATTGCACATGTCCATATATTGACAGTCCATAGTGTGACAATCACACATGCAGTATGTTTCAAATTCACACTTTTCTGTCAGCTACCTTACCGACTATGCAAAATATCATAATATCATCCACTTACTCTTTCTGGTTCCATGGAATGGGTTTTACGTCAGTGTTAGCCAGGTAGTGTGGGCTGTATCTGACTTCAACGTAGATCACCCCCTCTTTGGCTTTGTCCTCCACAAACTCATAAGCTATCCTCTTGATCGCCTCTCTGTCACCACTGGAAAAGTAATACAAAATCAGTGGAAGACCAAGAGAAACAACAAATATTTACTCAACTATGGCAGGTAATGCAAATGATTAGTCACCAACAAAGGCCCTACATTTTTTTTTTGATTTCCTCAAGTTATGCTTATCCAGGTACAAATACATTTTTGGGATAAAGCTATATTTTAAAAACAACTTGATTTAGGAAAACACCGGAAACGTTCTAGGAACAGCCAACTGTTCTTTGCATTGTGTCCCTCTTTGCCTGCAGGGTTAGTACAGGGTTAGTACAGGGTTAGTACAGGGTTAGTACAGGGTTAGTACAGGGTTAGTACAGGGGTAGTACAGGGTTAGTAGTGTTTCTCTGAATAGCAGAAGGGTAATCTGATGGTAAATCCTCAGCACACCACACCAGGACTATTACTGTCACAGAGTCAGAGCACAGCAAGCCATTGAACAAACACTCCCTGTGACCTCTGAACTGCACTTGACTTGCACTGAGCCCTTCACTGCTACTGCCAATAGGACTGACTGTCTGGAGGAGAAAATGACTATCATTATCCCTGTAATTATCATTTCCCTGTAATTATCCTTATCCCTGTAATGAAGATAGAGGACATAAGATCAGCCTGTGTATTAGTTTCATTGGATTTCGAGTGCATATCATTCTGTTTTATAGTACACATTTCTGTAAAAGTCCCTGTGGAGTAATGGGTATGTTGGAGGAGTGGGAAATGTCTGCAAACTCACTCAAACAGATGTGCCTAGAATCGCTTCCCTTTCTGTTGCTTTTTGACTTCACAACACAGATTCTGTTTCACATCACATGATTGGAAAAAAGACTGCTTCCAGCTTTTACACTGGAAGTGAAATAGTGAATGCTTGTTACTAACTGGCCTGGTCTGAATGCTTGTTGTTCCCCCACCCCCATGCTCATCCATCCACCTACATACACAAAAGTCCTGCATGAGCCAAAACGCAGCTAGCAAGTTCCCCATTTTGTTGTTGTCGTGTAGGGGGGTAGCACCAGACGCAACAACAAGGCTTTCAAGGGAAGGACTTGATAAAGAATGCTTTATTCAGCATAACTGCTAGCTAGCAGCTGCTATGCCCTGGCTAGAGGCTACCACTACAAACCATTATTGTTTATTTTCATACTTGTGGGAGGTTACTGGTTAGCCTGGCAGAGAACTGAAACATCACATTACCCTTTAAAACACTGTATAGTCTGAGCAGTGGGTGAGGTTTGAGTTCAGATTTTTACTAGGATTGTTGCTTTTTTCAATTGTACCACCTTGGGGTCAAAATGTGAAAAATTTTGGTAGCCTTTGGGTTAAATATAAGGTAGTGTTGTAATGGGAACAAAATCCATAACAACCTAGACTCTGTCTGTGAGTTTAGTTTGTTGCCAAAGAGACACCTGCTCGCATCATGACGTGCTCCTCTGTGCAGCATGATCTGCATTTCAACTAACCGACCCCCTAGTCTTGCCACCAGAGGAAACATGGCATAATACTGTCTCTGTCTGCATTTCATTCACTCACTAACCAGGAAGAAGACATATCAAGCCCTGGTATTAAAGTGAAGGTAGCCCAATTGGGCTGCTATTTAACACACACAATCCACGATCATTACAAATAACAGTCCCAATCCAAAATTCCCTCTCACTTTCATTTTTTAGCCGTAATGTAACAAATTAGGTGATCACGTGTTCTTTAAAAGTTTGTTGATTGCATTGCGTGTCATGCAAATACATTTAGACTCTAGACTCCTAACACACTGTACAGCAGTTATGATTCTTGTTGAAATAAAACAGAGGTATAGTACATCCAGTACAGTGCATGTCATCTCCCTGTCATGTCTCTCTACAGATTGAACGTTCATCTCAATCTAAGAGCTATCTGCAATATTAACTCTGATTAAAGAGCTTGGTGGAGCACAACATCCTGTAAACTGAACTTGACACAAACACAAATGAGTTGTGTAGCACCTTGACGCCATCTTGTGCTGTAACACTACCAGTATAAAGTAAACTCACCCTGGCCTAACCCTAACACTCATTTATCAAGATATTAATCAAACGCTCACTTTTGAGCAGTGGTGTAATGTACTTAAGTAAAAATACTTTAAAGTACTACTTAAGTCGTTTTTTACCCCACTACATTCATAAAGAAAATAATGTACTATTTACTCCATACATTTTCCCTGACTCGTTACATTTTGAATGCTTAGCAGGACAGGAAAATGGTCCTCCCTCTGATCTGGTGGACTTACTAAACCCAAATTATTTGTTTGTAAATTATGTATCAGTGTTGGGTTGTGCCTCTCGCTATCCATACGTTTTAAAAACAAGAAAATCGTGCCATCTGATTTGCTTAATATAAGGAATTTGAAATTATTTGATACTTAAGTATATTTTAGCAATTACATGTACTTTTGATACTTAAGTATATTTAAAACCAAATACTTTTAGTCTTTTACTCAAGTAGTATTTTACTGGGTGACTTTCACTTTTACTTGAGTCGTTTTCTATTATGGTATCTTTACCTTTACTCAAGTATGACAATTGGGTACTTTTTCCACCACTGCTTTTGAGTTTGAAGTCTTGAGACAACACCTCCCTGTGATAATTATGAAACCAAAAGCTCAGGTGATTAGTGCAGTAGTCAGCATCTCATTATCTCAGCCATCTTCATGTTCAGAGTACTTACGCAATAACGTGCATGTACTCTGCGAACTTGCCAAGGAACTCTGTGAGGGTGGCAGGCTGGTGCATCACACAGATTTGTGTCATGTCCTCCACTGTGCATGCAGGCAGGGTGATCCCACGTCGCCTGGGACAGACATACAGACAGAAACAGAGGACTTTAAAAGTACAACCAGCAATAGTTAGCTACATCTGTTCAATGTTCATTTCAATTAATTACAGTGAGGGAAAAATTTATTTGATCCCCTGCTGATTTTGTACGTTTGCCCACTGACAAAGAAATGATCAGTCTATAATTTTAATGGTAGGTTTATTTGAACAGTGAGAGACAGAATAACAACAAAAAAATCCAGAAAAACGCATGTAAGAAATTTTAGAAATTGATTTGCATTTTAATGAGGGAAATAAGTATTTGACCCCCTCTCAATCAGAAAGATTTCTGGCTCCCAGGTGTCTTTTATACAGGTAAGGAGCTGAGATTAGGAGCACACTCTTAAAGGGAGTGCTCCTAATCTCAGCTTGTTACCTGTTTAAAAGACACCTGTCCACAGAAGCAATCAATCAATCAGATTCCAAACTCTCCACCATGGCCAAGACCAAAGAGCTCTCCAAGGATGTCAGGGACAAGATTGTAGACCTACACAAGGCTGGAATGGGCTACAAGACCATCGCCAAGCAGCTTGGTGAGAAGGTGACAACAGTTGGTGCGATTATTCGCAAATGGAAGAAACACAAATGAACTGTCAATCTCCCTCGGCCTTGGGCTCCATGCAAGATCTCACCTCATGGAGTTGCAATGATCATGAGAACGGTGAGGAATCAGCCCAGAACTACACGGGAGGATCTTGTCAATGATCTCAAGGCAGCTGGGATCATAGTCACCAAGAAAACAATTGGTAACAAACTACGCCGTGAAGGACTGAAATCCTGCAGCGCCCGCAAGGTCCCCCTGCTCAAGAAAGCACATATACAGGCCCGTCTGAAGTTTGCCAATGAACATCTGAATGATTCAGAGGAGAACCTGGTGAAAGTGTTGTGGTCAGATGAGACCAAAATGGAGCTCTTTGGCATCAACTCAACTCGCCGTGTTTGGAGGAGGAGGAATGCTGCCTATGACCCCAAGAACACCATCCCCACCGTCAAACATGGAGGTGGAAACATTATGCTTTGGGGGTGTTTTTCTGCTAAGGGGACAGGACAACTTCACCGCATCAAAGGGATGATGGACGGGGCCATGTCCCGTCAAATCTTGGGTGAGAACCTCCTTCCCTCAGCCAGGGCATTGAAAATGGGTCGTGGATGGGTATTCCAGCATGACAATGACTCAAAACACACGGCCAAGGCAACAAAGGAGTGGCTCAAGAAGAAGCACATTAAGGTCCTGGAGTGGCCTAGCCAGTCTCCAGACCTTAATCCCATAGAAAATCTGTGGAGGGAGCTGAGGGTTTGAGTTGCCAAATGTCAGCCTCGAAACCTTAATGACTTGGAGAAGATCTGCAAAGAGGAGTGGGACAAAATCCCTCCTGAGATGTGTGCAAACCTGGTGGCCAACTACAAGAAATGTCTGACCTCTGTGATTGCCAACAAGGGTTTTGCCACCAAGTACTAAGTCATGTTTTGCAGAGGGGTCAAATACTTATTTATCTCATTAAAATGCAAATCAATTTATAACATTTTTGACATGCGTTTTTCTGGATTTTTTTGTTGTTATTCTGTCTCTCACTGTTCAAATAAACCTACCATTAAAATTATAGACTGATCATTTCTTTGTCAGTGGGCAAACGTACAAAATCAGCAGGGGATCAAATACTTTTTTCCCTCACTGTATATTAATGACTTAAATGAAATTACTAGTTCAAAATAGCCCCATAACTAGGCCTACATGTTCCAAACATAGATACTGAAAGAACAATGCATGTCACATGAACCTAATAAACCATATCACTTGAGTCTAATAGCCCTTTTACCAAAGGTAATTGACAGTTAATGTTTAAAGAGAACTTGCAAAACCTGTTATAACACACTATTTAAACAAAATACAAATGCTAAGAATTCAACAGGTTTATGAACTTACTTGGCAACGTCTAGGATGGTCTCCACTCGGATAGCGCCATCAAGATGCACATGCAGCTCAATCTGAAGATAAGACAAAATAATTAATTAAAAAACGGAAAGTACTTTAACCCAATGACCTATAGAGTAATTTAGTTCACAGGCCTGCATTGAAGTACAGACAATCTGAATGAACTCACAAATAAATCAATAGACTAAACATTGGCAAATGAGAGAGCAGGCAGGACACATCCTTGTTTTGTGATGTGGTTCAATGCAATGTGTTGGCTGGACATTTTAGTTATTTAGCAGATGCTCTTATCCAGAGTGACTTACAGTTAGTGAGTGCATACATATTTTTTTTTTTTCATACTGGCCCCCTGTGGGAATCGAACCCACAACCCTGGCGTTGCAAGCGCCATACTCTACAAACTGAGCTACACAGGGCTCAGTTGTGGCAAGGACCACATCTATCTCGAATGCAGTGTGCATGACTGGGCACCGTAGTTATTGCAGTCGGTGAAAAGGCCAGGGATGCCAGAGAAGGTTCAAAGAAGAGCAACTGAGTGCTCGGCTCTTATTCCATCAGCACTGAACAGAGAGCCATGAGTTACAGAGCCCAGCTACTCTACACCAGCTGACTACAGGGCAGATTGACTGTGGTCACCCCAAGCCTCAGTTACAACTAATAAAACATGAGGGGATTCGATTGTAAAGGGAAGGTATGTATCGATTTTGTTATCTTTTGACCGTCTGAGGCACACACTGGATAAGATTCAGAATATAGGTAATGTTGGGGAAATGTTTTCCTAAGAAATAACAAATCTTCCAAGAAGAGCAGCAGGAAAGAACCTTGAAAAGTTCTTAGCATCGTTATCATCTTACAGTTACAGGTGTAGGATCTTAATTTGATCACTCTGTTGTTCCTGAGAATTTTCCCTGCACCATAGGATTTAAATACATTTACTGAAAACCCGCACTAACAAATGGTTATATTAACAGTATTGCACTTTTCATGTAGCCTAATAATAGCCTAACCACTGATCAAGCAACATTACGTCGGCGGAAAAGTATGAATGGACTAAACGTTAAAATCCTGTTGCTGCAGTACTATTTTGCTATGACAATACTGGTAAAATTAAGATCCTACACCTGTACGCGTCTGACAGGTTGGCTCTTGAAGGGAATACCATTACGGTTATTACATATTGAGTTTAGCATGAGTGTGTCACGACTTCGGCCGAGGCTGCCTCCCCTCCTTGTTCGGGCAGGCTTCGGCGTTCGTCGTCACCGGCTTACTAACCACTGCCGCACCAATCATCATCACAATTGTCTTATCTTGTCAATCACACACACCTGGTTCTTATCCCCTCATTAGTCCGTGTATAAGTGTTCCCTCTGCCCCCTTGTCCTTGTGGGTGATTGTTAGTTGTGAGAGTAGTGTAGCTCGGTGGAGCTACTCGTACATTTTGTGGCCAGGGTAGATTTTCCCCTGTGCCTATGTATTATGGGATATCCGTTACAGTGTATTTGCCAGGGATGAGAGTTTCCCCTGTGCCTGTTTCGTTGATCGCTATTTGAGCGCATTTGTGTGTCTACGAAGGAATAAACTCTGTATTCGGTGATTACCCTCCTGCGCATGACTCCTTTCCATCACACTCATCACAGAGTGTGATAATTATGGTGTGACATGACCCCAGCCACTAACAATGGTATGGCAGGAAACCAAGGCCTTGAAAGAGTGATATCTTTACTATAGGAAATGTCAAGGTAGTCTATTCTTCAGTATAATTTAATGTATGTAATCAACAGTGTGAAAATCACTGTAGGCCCTATGTTGTGTTTTTCTAGCACAATCTCTTGGACACACATGTACAGTACTGTATGTTCACATAAATAAAATATGTTTGTGTCTCCAACAGGGTTCTTTGGCACAGCATTGGCCTGCTGTATAATTGCATTGCAACCAGTAGCATGCAGGCTAAACCCTAGCTAGTTGAACACAACAGCTATTTCTCTCTAGATGTCACCTTATGGAATGTAGGGAAATAATCAGTTCCTGTGAAACATTTAAATTATGTATCAAACTCATTCCACAGAAGGCCGAGTGTCTGCGGGTTTTCGCTCCTCCCTTGTACTTGATTGATGAATTAAGGTCACTAATTATAAAGAACTTCCCTCACCTGGTTGTCTAAGTCTTAATTAAAAGGAAAAACCAAAAGCCCGCAGACACTAGGCCATCATGGAATGAGTTTGACAACCCTGATTTAGATCCTTAGAAAAAAATGTAGAGCCTGTCTGAACACGTTATGACTTGGTAGACTTCAGTGTTCTACACACCCTAGTAAAACTACATCAGAGTACACTGAAAGACCTTCATGACATCATTACAGCAACAGCTGTGCTCTTGTCTCACAGAGCCATTAGATGTTGTGTTAGGTTTCAGGTCTCAATCATATCAGTAAGTCAATACACATGTATTATTCCATTTCCAGCCCTAGAGTGGCTTAAATACAATACTTGGCAGACTGAGTATGATGTGGTTAATTACCACCCATGTGCTCTTCAGGTTCCTATAATAAATAAGGTTCTTTGTCAACAACCACTTTTCACACTGACAACATGCCCAGGGTGTAGGTCTCACATGACTGTTACAGCATCTCTATTCAAGACACTCCTCCATGCGTGCGAGCATTTGCCTGTGTATGTGTACATGCCTATGAGAGAAAGAAACAGGCAAAGGAAGAGTGAGTGTGTGCTTAGATAATGTGTAATTTGTGTACTTTGTTCTGAAGAATGAGTTATACATTACAGTTTTGAAGAAGACAGTGTTTAAATAACGTTAGTGAGTCATGAGTACAGGTGTTCTCCTGTCTCTGTTGTTTAGGCCCATTACAGCTCTATCAAGGCTGGGATGCAAACATAATCTCACAGATACTTTCAAGCAGAAAGCTTCTCTATCTCAACAACAACATAGGCAATGATGTCAGAACATCAATGCACTCTAGGCTACATACACAGATCAGGTCTAAGACATCTGTTTAAGTCATTTACAGGTGAAGTCATCTTCTGGCATTGTAGGAACAACTCATTTAATTTACATTTACATTTTTTCATTTCCTCATGGGCTATTCTTCTGTGTTTTCCTACTTTACTAACCATGAGCAATATCAACAGGGACATACAGCTGTGGCCAAATATATTGGAACCCTTGCACTTTGCTGCATCTTTCAACTGGCAATTTGGCCCACTTTTAAGCAGCAAACTGCTCTAATTCTTCAACGTTTGAAGGGTGCCCTCCGCTAACTGCTGTTTTCAGATCTCGCCATAGGTTATGGATATGATTCAGATCTGGACTCTTCGCTGGCCACTCCAGTTCTTCTTGAACGATTCCTGGGTCGTTTTTTTTATGTGTGTTTGGGGTCGTTATCCTGCCGGAAGACCCACAACCTTCAATGGAGACCCAGCTTTTGGACACTAGGTTGAACATTGGACTCCAAAACACCTGATAATCTGCTGATTTCATGATACCGTGCACATTTTCAAGGTCTCCAGTACCAAAGGCAGCAAAGCAACCCCACAGCATTAGCAAACTTCCCCCATGTGTGATTGTAGGGAGGGTGTTCTTTTCATTGAATGCTTCATTTGGTTGTCAGTAAACACAGCGCTGATCTGTATTGCCAAAAAGCTCTAATTTTATTTCATTGGTCCACAGAACATTTCTCCCAGGATTTAGGCTTGTTTAAGTGGGTTTTTGAGAAGTACAATCCGGCCTACTTTTGTCTCCTTCAGCAGTGGGGTCTTCCTATGTTTACCAACGACCAAATGAACCATTCAAAGATAAGCACACTCTCCCTACAATCAAACACAGGGAGGTTTGATAATGCTGTTGCAAAGAGAGTACAGTATGAAGATAGGCTGAATCTGCTTCTCCAATAGAAATCCCAGATCACACTAGGCGTAATCAAGGCCACGTTGGCTAGCTAAGCTCAAACGCAGAAACACGTCATCGGTCTAACGGACGTCTCACGCCGAACTGCGTCAAATCAAAGGCACTCCTTCAATATAAAGTTGTTTTGACTAAAATTAAAATGTGTCAGTTTGCCACTTTCACGAGGTTGAAGTAATAACATGTTTAACAACTTAAGACATTGGCTCGAATCTAGGTCTAGATATAGAGAAAATTAACAACTAAGGAAGAATGTTTCACTTCTCTCATTGACTTTTCAAACCCCAAACCCCGGCCTCGTCTGCTTCGCAAGCATTCCTGGAAATCTTGCGATGTTGCGCCTGGGTTTAGAAACTCTGTGGCTGTTGGGTCACATTGCTGCCTCTGTTACTGGGGGCCTTGAATGTGTGCAAGACATCATGAAATCAGCAGGTTATCAAGGTGTTTTGGAGTGCAATGTTCAGGAATTATTTAGGAAAAGTGCAAGGGTGCCAATATATTTGGCTGCAATTGTACATGTAATGGAAAAGACAGTTATTTATAATCTGTGTTCTTGTCACTTAAATAGATACAGGAACTGAAAGAAATGTCTATAACAACTTTATTTTGTTAGCTTGTATAACAGCCAGGCACGGCAGTTACACAACACACAAGCAAGGCTCATCAAACAATGCAACATGCTATATAATGCACAGTATATGTTTCATCACATGGATAGTTGACCTATGATAGATAAGAGAAAGAGTGAATGTATGAAGTCATCACACCCCATGATACAATTACAGTGCCTTGCAAAAGTATTCAACCCCTTTGGCGTTTTTCCTATTTTGTTGCATTACAACCTGTAATTTAAATGGATTTTTATTTGGACATACACAAAATAGTCCAAATTGGTGAAGTGAAATGAAAAAAATTACTTGTTTCAAAAAAAGTACAGATCAGGGTTGGGTTATAAAAAAATATCCGAAACTCTGAACATCCCACGGAGCACCATTAAATCCATTATTATAAAATGGAAAGAATATGGCACCACAACAAACCTGCCAAAAGGTGGCCGCCCACCAAAACTCACGGACCAGGCAAGGAGGGCATTAATCAGAGAGGCAACAAAGAGACTAAAGATAACCCTGAAGGA